AATCTGACAAAATTATGTTCAATGTATTTAAGAAATTCAGTCATGGTGTTTCTAATTAGAACACTACACAGCATTCCGTAATAACAGAACACATAATTAGTCATCAACATGAATTTGATTAGGAAAATGTCAAGATATTAGACGAGGAAAAGGTACTTAATAAAAGACTGATTTCGGAAGCGATTCATATAAAACAGCAGAAATAGAGTTTAAATTTACAGAATAACGTATTCTTTAGACCCACTATACATGAATTTGTTTATGGATTTGTGACGTTGATTTTATCCTCTTTTGTTCTCATTTTTATTATTATTTTAATAACTACATGACTTTATTATTTTAACTCTCATTGTATCTCTGACTCGGCACCTCAAGACTTTTACATCGAGTCGTGAGAAAACGCTTACATGTAAGTTGATATAATCAAGATTCAGACAAATGATTTTAATAATTCTCTAATTTTTCATTTTCATGGTTCTTTTAAATGACTACACAGCAAATCTGACAATCTAATGAGCGATGTGATTCTACTTAGTGACGCAATGTGTATGACTTTGATTTTACTTTATATAAGTTTTTATATTATTATTATATAATTAACTATTTCTGATAATCATTGAGCTATTCATTACATAGATAATTCGGCATTTGGATAAAGAAGAACGAACTAAATTGAGAATCATCAACTTGGAATTTGTGTTATTTATGTAATTTCGATTTATATGTTATATTGATAAGGACCCGAATTGAAGGATCGAAACGTATATTTTATTCGTTTTGTTACATTCACACAAAAATAAAGAAATTTTCGGTGTATTCGAACAGATAATGTAGGTTCTAATGGTTTTTTATATTTTTTACTATTTGTGTTAATTTTTTTACATTTTTGAATGTTAATTTAACATAATGTGATTATACAAGTATAATATACATTTTAATATATAATATAGATATTTTGTCTTAAATTGATACTTAACATTTCTTAGTGTTACATTTATGAGTAAAAAAGAAATATAAAAATAATGTACTTTAAAACGCAAATTCTAAAACAAACAAATAAAATATGTTATTTTAACATATAATAAATGTTAATTATATTGAAAGAAATATACTTACAGTTTCTTTACAAACTGTGTCAGTATTATGTTTTCGTAATCAATTTTTTTGCGCAATATCTGTATTGTTTTCTAACATATTCAACTTATGTTAAATAAACACAAAAATTTGATTATTTGGAATATGTAAAATGTGTTGTATTCGACACAAATATTTATTTATTTTATATCTTCCTAACTTCTTTAACTAATCAATAAATCACAATGAAACTTTGCATAAGTTATTTTGAATATTGAAAGTACTTATAACAAAAATTTAGATTTTTATTATTGTTTTTGAAATTTTGGTTTAACAATTTTAGTATAACAATAAAAGTAACAAATAAAATTAATGAACTATAAAAATATGTTCATTAAAAACGGAATATTTTGAACAAAACTTTCACATATATAGTTTGCTTAAAGTACAAATATTAATACAGTTGTAAAAATGCCACATCCTCCGCGTGGGCATTACTGAAGACATTTTACTATGAGACCTTGTTTAATTAAAAACCCGTTTTAATTGCACGAAATTGTAAGATTCAAATCTGATGAATGAAGATATTTAAAAATTAATATGAAAAAAAGTGTGGCTATAAAGTATATTAAAGCAGAACAAATAATATGCTGCATTTATTGCATAAATTATATTTTTTAATTTAATGCATCATAATTACTTTTATAAAAGAAAGATAAACATTTCCCTTGTATTTTATGAAATAAATATAATGTAAATTTATTTGTAGAATTTTATTCGGAGACAAGATTGTAAAAAGAATTTTTATGCAAAACTTCATGTATTTGCACTTTTTGTAAGTTTTGTTACCCATTGAGGATGGATTCTGAGTGAACTGAAACATTTGGGATTTTATTTTTGTAGCTCAAGTTTTAAATATTGTATTAAAATTTTAATTTTATGCATATACACTATACCTGACTAATTGCGCCGTTACTTACAGGTAAATTTATTTCTTTAATTTTGTGTCCAGGAAAATATGTTACTATCAAGTGATGCGTGTAATGCAAATCATTGTCAGTGTAAAAACGTCGTCGGCGTAATTTATAGTGTACCCGGTTTGCCCATGATTGCGAATTTTGCACGAGACAGGCACGTCGGGAACAATGGGCGTACATGAGATTGATGTAAGCTCGTACATACGTATACATACATACATTGCAGAAAAACGCATTTACTTAGACAAGGGTAAACGAAGATAGAGATAGGTACGAATGTGGGCAGTCGGCCAGAGAAACATTTAGCTCTTTGAGATTCTTCCGCTCGCGGGGGCAATGACTTATTCGACGTCGTCGTGAACGTGATACACACATGTACATACGTGTATATACGATGTGCAAAAACGGACATATTCACGTGCATACACGATATGAGGCAAAGCATACGAATTTTAATTGATCTCATGAAAAATGCGAAGCTATTGCAATCTGCAGCATATCGTTCTTATGTGACATGCATTTGTGACAAGGTCGACGTATCTTTTTTTCTACGGTGCGATGGCTTTATCAGATTCACGAATACGCGCTGTGGTCGCTAAACCACAAAACAGATGGCAACTGAATAAAATGATGATTTAATTAATATAGTGTAAATGTGTGTGTGTTATTAAAAGTTTCCGCGGTGGTAAAATATTATCCATGACTTTTATACATAACTACTCGTTATGTATAAATTACTCAATTTAAATAAGGTATAAAATAAACTTCAGCGAATAACAATTAAAAATATATTATAAGGAGTCTGTCTGAGCTTAACTAGTTAACGTGCGCTAGTTTAAATAATTATATAATTCAAACAATAAACAATACAAACGTTCAACCTTTAATGTCGATCATCTTCAGTGAAGTTATATAATATAAAATAAAATTGGATCAGTCTTACATACTATTCTTCTTAACAATTTAAATTAATTAATTATCCTTCGTTTGTTCTTTACAATTTGCATTAAATTATTCAAATTCCAGTAATATGTGTACGTGTACAAGTATCTTTATAATCTATAAATACATTAATGCATTGATTATTTTCAATTAGGTATAAGTTTGTGTTTTAATATAAAAGTTTACATTTTAAAAGTATTAATAAAAGATCTGTTTTTTATTTCTGCACTAGATTACTGCACTAGAACTCTTTTTCTTGCTTTCAAATATATATCTTTTTCATTTCTTAAGTACCAAAAGTGTATACTAGTTTAACCACAAAAAAAAACAGACCTATAATATTTAAGAAATTGCACAGAGAAACAGTCGCGAATCAGAATTCTAAAGTATCATCATAAATATTGCGAGTCTATCGAGAGACTTGGCAGAGCTCGCAAAAGTGGCACGAGTTTCGTTTAATTAATTAATCGACGTATCGAATGATTCATTGTAAAATATTACAAAACAATGGACGCAATCACAAATTACGGCATGAGTGAAACTTGTTGCCGTGCTGCATGTGCCGATTATGAATGATTTACGCGATATTTGCGCTACAATGACACGCTGCATTCCATCCTATGATAACGTTAATTGATACGACATTTCGCAAATACGTGTATTGTGATAATAGACCAATTACCGCAAAAGCTTCGGAGCCTACACGATGTTCGTGAAATCGGCATAAAGGTGGCTCCCCCTTTGTGTTGCATTTTTAGCCAATCGATAATAAGATTCCGCAACAGTGTTGTTACTGCAGAATGAATTGCCGCTATTTTAGTTTGACTAATTCGACTAAAGAAGCTGAATAATTTAAAAACTCATTGACGAATTCTTAGTGATGTCACAAAAGTGAGAGAGAATCTTAATCTGTGTTTTAGTTGTAAATAAAATATATTTAATTATTATATATTCGTAAAATATGAATGTGATAGGCAACATAAATTTTTGCAAAAACAGTAATTCGTTGCTCTCGTAAAAAAGCCTCTATTACGTCAAAAGTTTTTCATCACGAGTTGACCCATTTTCAGCTGACGTTGTATGAATACATTTTATATATAATCTTTTTCAGTTTTTTCTATCTTCCCTTTAAAGGGGATGTCATTCATAATTTAACTGCCCTGATAATGAATTATCTTCTAAAAATATTGCACTTTTTTTCCTAAAAAATAAAATAAGTTTCTGACTAAAATTTAGAATACACAGGGGCTTTATTCTCGAAAAATATGGATCCAAAATACCCTGTATTACATAATCTTCTCGATTTATTTATTTTGAGGAATTAAAGATTCCCGTTTAGAGGACTAACCCATTTTCAGCGTACACTACACAAATGCTTATATAGTATATGGTAATCTTCTTGACCGCAAACATAGCTAGAGATAATTAG